TTCTACAATTAGTCATTCATTGAGTAAGTGTGTACTCTTGTAAATGCAAAATCAATTTACATGCAATCAGGTATGGACACAAGAAATGCTTGTGCTCTCGATTTCAGGATTCACAGATAACCCTAACAGTCACAGGACTGACCACAATTCACTAAATATTTTTGTTATTAGTGTGGCTTTGCTATAAAATAAGTTGCTGTTTGCTTTGGTACAAGGTTTTAATTGTTGCAGCAAATGAAAGACAAAACACTTTTGAAAGGCTGGTGTCAAAAACCATCAGCTGTACTTGTAAAAGTAATTGTGCAGCTTCTGAAATGTAGCTTATTACTGTAAATATGTACAATTTATGTCAGCTTGTTTATTTCAAAACCAAAAATAAAAAATTTTTAATGAAAAAATGCCTATATATAAAAAGCTTACTTTGTACTGTTTTAAACATGCAAGATTTCAGGTATATCATTTTATAATTCTTAAAAATGTTTAGCATTCTGAATTTATCATTTCAAAGCTTTTATGGCAAAATTTAATACAAAGCTAAATTGCTTGAGTTGGAAGTAATTCTTTGCAGGATTATCCAACAATTGGGGAAAAAGAGGGACCAGCACTTTTCCAGGAGCTTGTTTCTGTATCATTTTGAGTTTTTAAAAAATATTCATACAAACATGCCTTACAAACATTTGGACAAATGGAATATTTACATATCAGGGGAAAAATGAAGAAATAAAGTCTTATTTTCAAACATGATATTTAAAACTGATTTAACAGCACCCATTTGTGAGGTGCATTGTGTCAAATTCTTTTAAAATCTCCACTGTAAATACGAATATTGGAGTTGGCCTATTGGTCAGTCTTTCATCATTTGAAGACCTCTAACTTGAAACTCATTCTCTCCCCTCAGAAACAATGTGTTCACAATAAAGCAATGAGCAGACTAAAGGTGTGAAGTTCGTTTATCCATTAAGTATAGTTAGTAGAATAGCTTTCCAATAGGAGTCTAAATTCTAGCAAGGAACAACATTAGTATCCATCTAACAAAATAACTGGGAACCACCACTTCATCAGCTGGACTCCTGCCTGCAGGGCTACTTTTTGAGGCATTCAATACTGGCAACTAAATCCAGAAGACTATGTTATATAATGGGAGAAGTAAATGGACATTTGATTTTATTTACAGTAGAAAAACAAACAGAAAAAAAATAAATATATATGTATATATTTAAAACATGTTTAGTATTTACTATCTGAGTAAGAAGCTTAACTAAGACAGGTGTTTAACATCTAACATCTTCCTAAAAAAAGGAAAACAAAGTCTTTATTAATTCAACAAGAAGTTAAAAGTAATCATGCCAGGGCATTGTGAGAAGGCTAGGGCAATGATATCAAACAAAGCTTCTCAGCCTCAGAGAAAATTACCATTTAGATGGCAAGACTAGCTAAGAGCTAAGGGCAAACCAGTGCATCCTCATTCACAGCAATTATGGCATGTCCAGACAGAACTAGGTAAAAGACTTGGTCATCTGCCGGTGTGCAAGAGGGTTTTCTGGACAACCGGGAGATTTCCTGTATTTGTGCAGTCAATGTATCTGTGCTGCCACAAGTAACCAAGTAATTTCACCTCTGAGGACACTGCTTTATTTCTTTTAATTTTTGAGTCTGTAAAATTTCAAACATATCCACCACCCATATTATATGACTATCAAGTGTCTACAACTATCAAAGTCACATTAGGGTTATATAACCAGTTCTTTTTTTTTTTTTCTCTAAAGTAATTTACATCAAATCTTAAATACATTTTCATTTTACTTATACACATTTCTATAAATTATGGGCATAAAAATCTAACCATTATGATATTCATAGCTAACAAAAAATAGTAATTTCTTGGTATCATTAATGCCAAGTCCCTATTCACATTTTCAATTGCCTCAAAATTGCCTTTTTCATCCAGGCACAGTGCTGCACACCTATAATCCTAATGGCTCAGGAGGGAAAGGCAGGAGCCTCAGCAACTTAGTGAGGCCCTATCTCAAAATAAAAAATAAAAAGGACTGGGGATGTGGCTCAGGGGGTGCTTAAGCACCCCAGGGTTTAATCCCTGCAGTAAATAAAGGCCTTTTTTACAGCATTTCCTCCACCCAAATGTGGAGCCAAACAGAATCTTCCGGTTGCCTTTGGTTAGACCCAAGTCTCTCACTGGAAAGCATGCACCTTTGCATTTTACTTTACACCACTGACTTGAGGAAACTAGAAACTCTTTTATTCTCCTGCAGAATGTCCATGAGCTTCCTATGGTGATATTCAGCTTGGTCAGTTTTGTCTCTGGAGGTCAACATTACAGATATTTTAGATATCTGGAATCTGCATCAGAGACATTTTGTGAGAATTAAATTTATCCACGTTATGAGATATCTGTTTTCCCCACTTTGTATTTGGAAATATGGAAGCCCAACAAGACAAAAATAACTTGCCAAGCAAATAATGGAGCCAGAAGCACAACTCCAAAGCCCACTCTCAGCCTTACACTTGGACATAACTTTTCCAATATAACTGCAAACCTAACTAGGTTAATATAAAACTTTTGTTCAGCTTTAACATGTTTAGTTTCAATATGTATTATCAAAGAAAAACTCATAGCACTGAAAAAAAAATGTACTTTTCAGGAAGACATTGTATAATTATCATAAAACAGAAATAACCCAAAAGATATTATTAAAATATACTGAAAAAACTTTTCTAATATAGAAATATTTGATCTTTGAAATGAAAGCATTTTTAAAGACAAATTATAAACATGTTCAAAAGATGAACTGCTTTGTATCAAAATGCACCGGCATATAATCTTTTTATCTGAAAGAAGCCCATGTGACTCAGAACTTTTCCACCCTCTCAACTGACTCCAGTATTAATAAATAAATAAGACCCCAAAACAAAGACATCTCCAAGAATGACAAGTTCATGTCAGGATTTACTAGTAGCATGTAAACAAAAGGCAACAATTCCTTATCTAAGCTCAGAATTTAAGAAGAAAATCATCCATTTATCACACACACTAAAGAAAAAACAAGGGGCTATAGATATCAATCTTAGAAGTGCATTAAACCTATGAATGTTTCTGTCATATATCACCTTCTCCACAAGGGTGTTAGCTAAAGAGTTAACCCCTTTTCAAAGAAACCAGTATTCTTAACAGAAACTTTAGCTTTATTATACACAAATGTTAAATAAATACAACCTTACCTATCCCACTCACTGAGTATGTACAGCATTGTTGTTAATATATTTGCATTTGCAAGGCAGGCTACCACAAGTTGGCTGCTTTTGCTAAACAGACTGGAGCTGAGACTCAGCCTGTAAGGTACAGCCCAGCAGCACATAATCTGTACCCCCTAAGAACATTATTCTCTGGATGTTTAGCTTAGTTTCGAGTTTAGTTTAAACCTGTTCTCTTTAAATGGGTTTTAAATATTTTTAGGATGCTTTTCTTTAATTAACTCCAGAGATAAAATGCTACATATTCAGCTCTATTTTTTAACCTTAATTTTAAGATCTAATGTCATCAGGATATAGTTACAGGACAAATAAACATTTGATTCTATCTTCCCATCTTCTCTAACACAGACAAAAAGAATTAATATACTTACACAATCTTATAATTTACTGTCCACATTTCTTAGGCACTCACTTCATAATAAAGTGGTAGCAAGATGGAATGGGAACACTCACACACTATAAAACGGTAAAATCACTTCAAGAAACAGTTTGGCAGTATCTTGAAAAGGTAAATATAAACCTACCATATGACCCAGGCATTTCACTCTAAAGTATTTACCCCCAAGAAGTAATGTAGCATTGTGATTATGTAAAATTTTGTTCTTAAGAAATGCATGCTAAAATACCTTGGTAAATTGTGATGATTTCTATAATTTACTTTAACTAATTCAGCAAAAATAAAATTGTATTGTATATAAAGTTCTAATAATACATAAATAAAATATATACAGGGGCTGGGGTTGTGACTCAGAGGTAGAGAGCTTGCCTGGGGCCCTGGGTTCGATCCTCAGCACCACATAAAAATAAAGATATTGTGTTCCACCTATAACTAAAAAATAAATATTAAAAAATATACAAATGTATATAATATATACTATATGTGTATATGAGTATACACATATAATATATATCAAATATTGCACAATGTTAATTCTGTGGCACCTTGACTAATATATACAGTAGTTCATTGTACTATTTTGCCCTTTCTGTTGTTTAAAATTTTGCATCATTAAAGGGTTTCTTTCTAAATTAAAATAAGTCAAAGGAAAATAAAACAAAAAAATTATCAAACTGTATACATTAAATAATGACAGTATGTAGTTTGCCGATTAGATTTTAATAAAGCTGTTGAAAATGCCAATGGAACAATACCATGTGGTGAGAGAAGGATTAAATAGGGCAAGATTTTTTTCCTTGTGAAGGAGAATCCTGCCTAGAAAGATGCAATTCAGAAGAGGCCTCAAGGGCAGTGGTACTCACAGTGCTGGTCTGCAAACTGTTACTGGTCCAAAATGATCTAAGATTTTGCACAAGAAGGTAAATCAAGAACTACACTAAGCACACTCACTGTTTACTTCAGCTGGTACATTTTTCATAACCAAAATGTCTAGATGAAGCGAGCACCAAACACATTGTTAACCCTTCTGGACCAAGCTCCTTTTCTAATTGATAACTTATAATGACTGGCACAGTACACAGTACACAGATACATTTTGAGTAATACTGCTTAGATCATACTCACATATTTATTAAAATGCTCTAAGCCTATCCTCACCTGTATGATTAGAGGTGAAGATATGCTTATCATCCTGTCATCCTCTGGACATCTCAAAGGATAGCCTGATACTTTAATGCACCACAAAGCTTGCAAATAGTAGACACCACTTAATTATGCATTGCTGACTTCTGAATATGTAGAAAGTTATTTGAAACAAAGTAATACATAAAAATGAAACATGACACTTTTTATTTGTTCAGAATACTTATTTTTAAAGTTAGCTGAGGTTAAAAATTTTCTGTTTTCCACTGTATTTGTAACATCCAAAAGTGTTAAGTTCATTATTAAGAATTTATAACAAAACAGGACCTGTAGATAGTCTTACCTGATACCCCAATAACAATATATACACTACACAATGACATCTAATCAGAACATAGTCTCCCAACCAGACATGGAAATGCAGAAATAGTAATGTTATTTTCATTTCTGTGTGTTCCAGATTTAATTCATAGAATCTATAAACTCACATAAATTTTGAATTATTTTGTTTTTTCATGTCTGATAAAGACCCTTTCTCTAAGAAACTTTATATTTTATAATCTTTTCTTTGAAATATGAGAAAGATATGAAATCTCCTGAGTTATAAATGCAGCTTATACATTGTTTTTAAAAGTTATTCTTAAATATCACAAATTAATTATATATCCATAATACATGTCTTTTCTAGTCACATAATTTTTAAGCAATATTCAAGTATGTTTGTGCTTCTGCATGTTTACATTACTTTATAAGCTATTTTTACCTTTCAATAAAATTTTATCTACACAAATTTCTCAAATATTTAATAAACGAGACAAAACAATCATTATGAAAATATAAACTGCAACTACATCTTTTTCATCTTTCATTTTGTCTATTTCCTATCTACCAAGTAATTTCCTGTTCCTTAGGGAGGCTGGTAGACTTTTATCTTTCAAATCTCGGCTCTGCTGCCCTCTCAGCCTGATGTAGAGTCAATACATCTCAGGGGTCTTGAACACACAGCATTCACTCTCCCATATCAAGTGTTGCAGTGACATCTGATGGCTTTGGTAGCCATTATTTCCTGTTATTTCAACTGCAGGACCACCTTAAAACATAAATTGGAAAGGAAAATATCAGGTTATACTAGAATGATGCTGATGTATGCTAAATAAAATGCTCTGGAGTCTGTGAAGAGGAGATAGAGAATTAGTAACAGTAACTGCTGGTCCCTGACTGACAGGGTCTGTGGCTTCACCACACCTACTCCACATATTTCAGACCCATCCAAAGGACAGCCACCCTTGGACTACCAATTCAGTTTCTGAGCCTATGAACCAATCATTGAGGAATTAAAATGTCTAACTAACTGCAGAGTATGGAAAGAAGTTGGCATTTATCAGTTTTTTTAAAAGGTGGGACCAGGAAGTATACTGGCAGCCAGAGAAGTGGGTAAGAATAATTAAGACTTAATCATTAAGACTACATCACATGAGACACTGCTGAGGAATAATGACGGAATATACATATACAAGGATCATTAGTGTTATTTCTTCCTCACAGCAATAGTTTCTGCTGTTTATTATTTTTTGCATTTATTAAATACTAGTGGTTATTGTTATTTAGCCAATGCTTTGTAAACATAAAATTTTTACACATTCACTACTTCTATCTCATCTTAACCTGATTTTGTCATAATAACTACATGTCGTATTTTATCTCCCATATTTAGAGGATTACAAAAGCAATTTTCTTTCATTTTTCCAGTTAAATAAGACATTATTTTCAGGACTATAACTATTTTTAATCCTAAGAACTCTTCAGAACCAACTAATTTCATAGTTTCAATGTAAAAAAAAAAAATCATTAATGAGCACTAAAGCAAAGCAAATCCATCTGTTAAAAATAACATAATTTTCTTTCAAAAATAATTACTTGGTAAATTATGCCTCAAATTAAATACCAGTTACAATTAATTCAATGTCTAAAACTAGAGATCAAGTTTATGAACAAGTATCTTCTGTATTGGCATAAAATATCAGGGAACAGAGAGACACTAAGAGTGAAACCAAAGTTTTTCTTTTATTGCTCCACATGTATCAATCAAAACTTTAAAAAATTTAATCTATATGATAAAATTAAAACAAATACCTTATTAGCTGCTTCCAAGGAATTTATTAGATTCTGCAGCTCTTCTTTACTCATTTCAACCGAATATGGCTTTACTTCACCATTTTCTTTTACATCTAGATGAAGGTTTAAGAGTGGCATTTGTAAAGTAGCAATCTTGTCGCTAGAAAGTGCAAGCTGTTCAAAATGAGGAAAACAGTAATTAATAAATACTATAAGGGAACATATTAAGTATGCATCAGAGCTTATAAACAAGACATTTTAAAAAAGAAAACAAACTCATTTCAAAACAATATATATTTGAAGCATAGAAAGAGAAAGAGAATAAATGAAAGAGAGGAAGTAGGTAGGCAGGGACAACCAGTGGCAGTTTTGTGGCAGGAGCTTAGTCTGGCTTAACAAGTTACACTTTCTTTAGGATTGTAATTATTGTTTTAATCATAAGAACTATCAGGAGTATAGAATGGGTCCAATGCAACAAGAAACAGAATTCTTAAAGAAGATTAAAGATCGCAAGATTATTATTATTATTGGTGTATACAGATAAATGAGACTAAAAATACTGGTAAAATCTCAAATTAAGATGCTTAATTACTTCATCATCAGCCATCTATTAAACTATTAATAAATGTCATCAACATATCATTTCCAATTAGTACCACTCAACAAAACCACTGAACAAATTTACCTCACTACTTAGTTTCTGTCTTCAGAGTATGTGTATCCTACAGAAATTGAGACTTAAATACAGTATTTATGGTATTAGTAGTTTTTGAAACAAGCGCTGTAGCTTCATTGGAGATAACAAAGGGAAACTCAATTATCTAGAATCTGAGCCAGAAAACCCTACAATCTTTATTTGGAGTGCTCCCTTTTAGGGGTGCACGGAGGGAGGAGGGCAGGGGTTGGTGGCGCAAGTTGTGTAATGGTAAGGAAAACACTCCCTAACAAGCAACATCAAAGTACATTTCTTGGGGTACCAGAGGAGTTAATCCTCACATATATCCATTCTCTCTCCCCAAAACAGTACTCATAATATGTGGGATTTTGGAAGTCTCACCTTCTGGTTGTCTACCTTACAGATAATTTTCCTCAATATTTTCAAAAGGTAGTTTCTCACCCTATGTCTGAATACCACCAATGATGAGAAGTGAACTACCTCAAGAAGTGATTAAAATCACTTCCAGATACTCATAGTTGTTAAGTTCTTCCTTGGGTTCAATTCAAACCCATCTTACTACAAATGATACAGTTTTGCCCTTGTCCTAGTCTCTAGAGTCAATGAGCACACACTTATTCCCTTATCCATGACTTTTGGATTTTTGAAAATAACTATGGTATTTCTACTAGATTTCATCTTTTCTAGGGACATGGTCTCATGAGTTTTAAACCAATTTCACAAATCATGATTTTAAATTCCTGGTCATTCTTTTTAGCTGTGTTCTAATTTGTTCAAATATCTCTTAAGTTTGGCAGCCAGAATTTTTAAAAAGTTATTAAACTAACTAAAAAGATTTAACAGCTAAAAACCGAATCTATGAGAACTATCCCTTGCTTAAAACATTGCATTTCTACTAACAAACCATACAGAACCAACATCAGTTAAACTACATTTTGGTAAACCAAAACCACCAAAGATTTCTCATACATGCTGCAGTTAGCATTTCTACCCTATCTTTCATATTTATAAAAAACATAAATCTATTTATTTAAATGAAAAATCCTCTACTTAGGTGATCATTGATTAGTTTATTTTGCTTCATTTGGTCCATCAGTATAATAAGAGGTAAAATAATTTTAAACTTTGATTATATATTTAGTATATCTTTTATGTCACTCTCTAATTTGATCAACATAATATTCATAAAAATGTTAAAGAAGGCTGGGCCAAGATCAGAACCAGAATTTGTCTAATATAATTCATCTACCTTTGGATACTTATGTACACAGTTACAAACCCATCTGTGTTATGTTCCCAACTTTGTCTCCCATTAGTCCACAAAAACAATACGAGGCACTTTATCTAGGGTCAAGATAAAAATCAAGGAACACAATATATTTGTTTTCTCCTCATCTACGGGTCTAAGTCCTTCATACAGGATGGGAAGTTGATCTGTCATTGCTCTTTATTAACCCTACTGATCATGATTATCTTCAAAATGTTTCAAAACTACTGTTTTAATAACACATCATAGATCTTCCTCCCAGAATTAGAATCACATTTATCAATCTTTAGAATGCTATAAAGTCTAGAAACCTCTAGCTAAATATATATGGTGAATATATATATTGCCACACTATTTATGATTTACAGGTCTTAAAAGATTTATAGGTATAGTTAAATTTACTATTAATGCATTGTTACTGTTCATGGTGTCTTGGAGTATTTTACACCCAAGCTAAAAAAGATGTAACTTAAATCATTTTTGATATCTCTTTGGAACAATGCCTTTCTAAACTAAAAGAAATTTTAGATATATATTATAAAAAATAGTTCCCTATATACAAAAAAATGAAACAAAAAACATATATACTCACAAACAGATTCTCACCTTTAACTGCCAATCAAAATCCTGTAACTGTGCAGAAGAAATATCAACTATTTCTCTTAAAAGAACTTGCTTGATTTCATTTTTCCTACTTTTCAAGCATTTCATGATGGCTTCTTGATGAGATGAATTCAAATGATTCAATTGCTGAAGTGTCTACAAAAATAAAAATAAGTGGTTAGAATATACATGAAAGGGTCTTTCTGCTTAAAATGTAACATAGTTCCCCTCTCCCATCACACACCTTTTTAAAATGATAGTGAATGAAAAAAAGAAATAATACTTTTATAATCATGCAAAGAATAAGATGAGACTGGATAACCAGCAAATAGATTTTAACAAATTCCTATAAAACAGAAAGCAAAGAAAAATGGCTGACTGATAAAGCAGCATGGAAGTAAATACACCTGAGATCAAGAAAGCTGACTGAGCTCAATTAAAGCACCAAACAACATGCTCTCAAGGCAAGAAGCATAATAGGAAATAGAGAACAGTAAAATGGCCATTCAACAGAAAGACCTAACAGTAATAAATTAATGTGTACATAATAACATAGCTTCAAAATAGAGCAGCAAAATATGGCAGTTCTGAAAAGTGAAAATTACATTCATAATGAGAAATGTTACCAGAACTCTTAGTAACTGACAGAAAAACATTTTTTAAAACTTAGCAAAGACAGAAAATATTTTAAAACACTATTTTTCCACTTAATTGATATACAGAATGTTGTACCTGACAAGTGTTAAATAAACAGTGTTTTCAAATGTATATAGAAGATTCACCAAAATAAACCATATGCTGAGCCATGGTAGCAAACCATGAAGGGCTGAAATAATACTGTTTGTATTTTTTGATTACTGTAGAACTAAATCAAAACTGATAAGATTAAAAAAAACTGTTTCCAAGTATTCAAAAATTAAGCAACTCAATTCTAAATGAATAGTCACAAAAATTCTTCCAGAGAACAGGAAAAGGAAAAAATGCTTCCCAAACCCATTCCATGAGCCCAGAATAAAATTTGACAAGGGAATTTCAGAAAAAGAAAAACCACAGGCCATTCTCACTCAAATATAGATGCAGAAAACCTAAACAAAATATTGGTGTATCAGAACCAAGAAACACATGAGAAAAGAATACCTCCTAACCATCTAAAATTTATTCTGGCAAGTGAAGTTTAAGTTTAGTTTAACATTCAAAGATAATCACCACATTAACAAAATTGAGGTGAAAAAATAATAAGTTTAGGAAAAAACAGTTAATAAAATTCAATATCCACTCACGATAAAAAATTATCAGCAAAGTTGGGAATGTAAGAATCTTTTTTAATCAGAGAATTCTTACTTATAAAGTGATTCAGTTAGCATACTAAATGGTAAAATAGTATTTGCTTTCTCCCTAAGGTCAGGAATAAGATATATGTCTACTATCACTGGTTTTTTGTTTTTTTTTCCCCCAACACTGTCCTAAAGGTATTAGCCAATGTAATAAAGTAGGAAAAATAAATAAAAAGTATTAAAATTAAAAGAGAGTCATATAAATCCTCTCACCCTTAAAAACTTTGAATAAGATCTACAAGACTAAACATCAAAAACATCACTTAATTAAAAATAAATACCAGAAATATTGGCAAGATCTCCCTACTAAAAACTATAAAACAGTAAGAAACAAGAGTAAAACTAATAAATATAAGAAAGGATATCCTACTTTCACAGACTAGAAAATTAAATATTGTTATCAATTCTCCTCTAAAAGACATAGAGATTCAGTTCAATACCCATTAAAATGCCAACAGATATTTTGTTTTGTTTTTGTTTTTGTTTGGGGAGGGCTGGTTAAAACTGATAAGCCTATTCTAAAATGTACACAAAGACAAAGAGGACGTAGACTAGCCAAGACAATCTTGAAGAAACATGAAGTTGATATCTTATACTAGATATCAAGACTTAGTGTAGTTTTAGTGTAGTTTATCTCTATAGTAATTTCAGCAGTGCAGAACTAACAAATAGAGAAAATGTAATACAATAAAGAGTCCATAAATAGATCCCCTCACAGGGCCACCTGATTTACCACAAAGGTTGCACAGTAATACTGTGAAGAAGGATGCTCGTTTCAATAAACGGTAGTGAGTCAAATGTATATTCATACAGAAAAACTTGAACTTAACCCATCCTCCATACACAAATATTAATTCAAAATTTATTAGTGATACAAATATGAGAGCTAAAACAATCAAGCCTCTATGAGAAAACATACAGGGATATCTTAACATCTTCAGGGCAAATATTTCTTAAGTAGGTCAATGATAGCACTAACCACCAAAAAAGAAAAACTTGATTAAAAATCAGAACGTCATAAAAAGACACCATTAAGAGACTGAAAAGTCATGTAATAAAGATTTAAAATACATACATACATCTAACAACTCATGTCCAGAGTATCATTCTAATCAATATGAAAATAAACAGAACTCCAATCTCTTAAAAAAGTGAGCAACATATATAAATATGTCCAAATGATCTTTGACAAAGATACAAAAGCAATTCAGTGGAAGAAGGCTCTCCCAAGGCCCTGCAATTTCACTTCAAGACGTCTACTGTACAAAAGCTGGCTTAGGCATCTACAAGGAGACAAATACATCTGCAGCCAGCACCACTTAGAGTAACCAAAGAGGCAACAACCTAAGTGTTAGCAGGGTCATAAATAAATAAAATTTAATTCCTATCAACCAACAGTACAAGGGGATGAAACACATACACTAGATTCACGTTCAACAAGATAAATCTAAAATACAATATTACATCAAAAACAATTTACAAATGGATACACATGTTATCATTTAAAACCCATACACTTAAACATACCAAATAATTGCATATGCTGCTTAAAAATGTGAATGTACATACAATATGGAATACAAAACATGACCACCACCTTCAAATAGTGATCTCGGGGTAGGGATTTGTGGCTCAGTGGTACAGCACTTGTCTAGCACACGTGAGGCAGTGGGTTCCATCCTGAGCACCACATTAAAAAAATAAAATGAAGTCATTGTGTCCATCTACAACTAAAAATAAAAAAAGAGTAGTGATCTCTAGATGAGAGTGGCATATTCTATTGAGGAAGGAGAGTATTTAGGTTATCTCTGTAAAGATTTATTTCTAAAACACATAAACCAGAAACATACAAAGTAAAATGTTAAAAATTATTTAAACATGTTTCTGGAGACATAGGTATTGGTTATCTAACTTCTTATTTTCTTCTAGATGCTTTAAATGTTTCACAACTAAAAAAGTAACAACAAAACAAAAAGAAGTAACAACCAAAAAAGGGCCAAGCACCAGAAATTCCACAAAAAAGATTTTCCATTTACTTACAAATTATGAGGTTTTGCTGTTAAATTCAGTACTTACCGATAATGGCCCTTGTATTATATGGTGCTCTAAAAACCAACTTAAAAAAAAAAAAAAAAAAAAAAAACTTTAAAAAAATAAAAATATCTGGGCATTATTCATTATAAGGTATAGAGATTTAGAGTGAACTTACCTCTTCATCAGATAAATTTTTACCAACTAGAGCTTTAAAAAATTTGGTAACATCTTCTAAAACATTCATCCATTCTGTTGAATCCCAAACACTGTGGTAGTCCTGGTAGAGAGGATAAGCTCGACCACAGAAGCCATCAATTATTTTGTGAAATAGCTAGAGAAGAAAAAGGAAAATAAATTTACTTATCAGTAAAATTATAATGGAATTCTCTTCCTCACAGAAAACAGATGTTGGAAGACATTCCTGCTATCTGCAGGAGCAGCTGACACAGAACTATAATTTTTTTTTAAGATTATTCTTATAAATTAAAAATTAGAGTTCTACAAAAATCCTAGACTTTCCCTTATCATGTCCACCTTAAGCTTAAATAATTTTAAAGATATAGTGTTGTTTTTTTCAATATTCCCAGAAGGAAGATGGTAGTGTAAAAATTTCACCTAAGGATCCTTACATATTTATATCCATGAGCAAAGGGCATGCCTTTTTCATTGAAGTCTTTTATTGTAGTTCTACAATCTTCATTTTGCTTTGCCCCATTTTTCACAACAAATTTACTATTTTTGCTCTACTCCAAGAAGACCCTCAGAAACATTATTTTCCTCTTTTGAATTCCTCTCTGTCTACCTTAATTATCAGTAATTGAAATTCCAACACATAAAAGACTGAGTTTTAGAACAAAATTAGACAGTGTGAATTTTAGTCCCACTACTTGCTAGTTTTATTTAAACGTTTGTGTCTCTGCTTCCTCAAGTGCAAAATAAGTATATCATCTACCCTTACCATGCTACATGAATTCCATAATACATGCAAATCACATTGCACATTCTTGGTAACATTATTAAGTCTCTATTATTCTTATATTTGCTACTATCACTCTTAAGATTATTCACGCCTTCAATATATTTGAGTACCTACTATGCCAGAACTATTCTAGGCAAAGATTAATATGATTATCTATTTCAGAAGATATCTGAATCTTATAAAAGTAATAAATGAATTTGCATAACTTGAAAATAGCATTATAGTGACAAATCTTCTAACTCTTTCCCTCCTGGATCATATTCTTCTCCATTTTAAGAAATAACTCTTTCCCTATAAAATCGTGCATATTTGAACAGAAATGAGCAACTTCTGTTTCCTCACAATAGCTAATGCATGATAAATCGGAATTTTTATGCACCATAAATCAACCAACATACTTGATTTAAAATTTATTCAAATTTCTGCACATATATTCCATTGTATCCTAGACTATCCCCATGCTTCAGCAAAACCCAGAACTCAAACTGAAAAATAAAGGTGCTACATTTTTTGGAATTTTAAAAAATGTATTCATGTAATAAATACTACATTGCAGTTATTCACTAAGGTAATAGAAATACAAAGAAAAGATAACGATAATAGCTATCATTTGTGGACCCCGAAGCACTATAGTGATCCTTACTACAACCCTATGAGGTTAAGTATCATGATTATTCCCATTTTACACATGACAAAACTAGGAATAAATAAGATGAGGCCCTACCATAACAGAGCTTTAAAATTCTATTTCAAAAGGGCATTTTTAATAAATAAATAAGTGCATTTAGAATAATAGGGGCTATAACAGAAGTTTATAGAAGATGCAAAAGAGTGGGGAGAAGAAGCAAGGAAAAGGCTAAGTCTTTTGTTGTTGTTGTTCTTTCTAGGTATACATGACAGTAGAGTGTATGTTGACATATTATACATACATAGAATAATTTGTTCCATTTAGGATTCCAGTGTTGTGGTTGTATATGATGTGGAGTTACATTGGTCATTGGTCATGTATTCATATATAAGGATAAGAAATATATGTTCAACTCATTCTACTGTTTTTTTTTTCTATTCCCATCCCTCCTCCCTTCCCTTCATTCCCTTTTGTCTCCTCCAATGAACTTCTAATCTTTCCCTCCCTTGCTGTGGGTTAGCATCCACATATTAGTGAGAACATTCTGCCTTTGGTTTTTAAGAACTGGCTTATTTCACTTAGCATGATATTCTCCAGTTCTATCCACTTACAGGCAAATGCCATACTTTCATTCTTCTTTTATGGCTGAGTAAGGATGAGCAGGTGGCCAGGCAAGCAGAAACAAGAAAGGCATTTGCCATCACAAGCAACTGCATATACATAGGATTAAAGTGTAAAACACCACTGCTGGACTTGGGAGTAGGGGGTAATTTGTGAGGTAGGGAAGGGTGAGAGGAGACAAGGCTAAAGAGGTAGGTAGGGTCCAAATCATAGGGGGTTTCACACACAATGCAACAGAGTCCAGGCTGCCATCTGTGCTCAACATTCAATGGGAAGCAACTAATTTACATGTTCAATAATAGGATAGGAGCTATAAAGAGAGAAAAAGAGAAAGAATGGACTAAACCCAACCCCTCGACTCTCCATCCCCACACCCTCGACTCTCCATCCCCACTCTCTTCAGTTTATGACAAGAAATTAAAGGAACATTAATTGTTAAGGACACTCAAGATGAGATAGTAGAGGAGTAAAAAAGATGTGAAAAGAGAGGCCATGGAAGAAACCCAGAATTTCAAATTGAGTGACCATATATCACCAAGCAAAAATAAGGCAATAGAGGGAGTAGGACCCCAGGAAAGGAGAGGAGCTCAGCCAAGGACACAATGAATTTGTGACCACTGAAGCAAAAGCGTGACTCAAGGAAGAGATTTTGGATGGACCCAGCAATTTAGGAGCCACCAACACCTCTGGTAGTAAAGGTTGTGGACCTTTTCTGAGAAGTGGATAGAATGAAAGCAGGAGAGTGGATGGTCAGAAGGCTCAGTCAATAGATCTAAGCAAATGTTTCGGTTTTACCATTTACTGGCTGAACAATCTTGGAAAAATTGCTAAAACCCTCTGTTGACATTTCAGTTTCCTCATTTGTAAACCACTCAAGAGTTACTTGATTTTCTTCATCCTGGCAGAAGAGAAGTTAATTTCCTTGTTTCCCCTCCACTCCCCACTATAAATGGAACAAAGGAGAAAGGAAGACCAAACTGCCATCATAAAAGATGCTCCAGCAGGACACAAGCCATGTCTCCTCCCCGGTTTACTCAACCCATCTGGGTATTCAATCTGTTGTACACTTCAACAGAAAACTTGCTGAACGAATAAGCCAGTTCTTCATAGACTGGAAGTGTCAATAGATATCTCACCTCTTGAGACCATCCTCACTGGTTATTTTTCATTCTTGGTAGTGCTTACTTAGTTTTTGTTTTGTTTTGTTTTTCTGTCGCCCTCAAGGTGGCAGGGTCGGCTCCAAGTCACTACATATCCCTAGCACCCAGCAAAGTACCAGATGCCTAGAATGCAGGCGTTCCGGAGGTCTGTGTTTAATGAATGAATGACGTGTGCACGAGGAGGTTGCAAACCACCAACTCCATGGCAAAAGCTTTCAAAGAGTTTTGGCAACTACCCGGCACAGATCGGGAGCCCGGGAACCCTGGGAGCAGGTGGGCCTCCCCACAGGGGCTCGGGCGGCACGCCACATCTGCACGGAAATCCTTTAGGGCAGCTGAGCCAAGCCTAAGAGCTAACGTGGCACCCCAAGCTTCGGCCTCCCAGGGTCCCCAGAGAAAGCTGGGGCCCGGCCACTAGGAATTCCGTCCCCTTTCCCCACTTCCCCGGGGAGCCCGCGAAGGCGCCTGGGTGGCACTCCGCCGACCAGCGCGCCAGGCCGCCCCGCAGCCGGCGCCGCAGCCGCCGCCCACGCCCCCCTCACCTGTGCGCCCCGCTCTGGGGGCAGCTTCTGCAGCCGCCACAGGGGCGTCCCCTCTTCCGGCTCCATCCCTGTGCAAAGCTGGGACGGGGTCACGTGACCAGGCCGAGTCTCTCCGCCGCCGCGACGGTCCTCCCACGTGACTCTCTCTAGGGTGGGGCGGGGCGGGCGCGGAGCCACAGAAGTCCTTGTGCGCGTGCGCAGAGACACGGCCACGGATTTCCCGTAATCAAGCTGAGTCTTTCCCGTGCGGCGGGATGTTGCAGGCACACCCTCGCGTTGCTCCCTGGAAGGCAGCTTCCCAGGTCTCTCTCAACGCGGTTGTGCCTGTGTTCAGACTTCTATTGAACTTTCGGCTCGCTCTTTAGAAAACCGTCTGGTATGGGTAACCATATACTGTATTTGAGTGAACCCAGGACAATTAATTGCCCCCGAATTTTGACATCTATCTCTTATTAAAGCGTGCTGATTTAAGGTCTTATCCTGAACAAGGTTCTTTATGTAGATTATCTTAAGAAGAAGGAACAATTTTCATCCCCATTTGTAGAGAACAAACAGGATCCGAGATATCACTAGTGTTGTCTGATGAAGCAAAAATACCAAAAGTCAAGTTAAACGTGAAATTTCAGATAAATAACGAATAATGTTTTAAATTTAAGTATGACCTAATGTTACATGGATTATTCTTAAACTAAAAAGATAATCTGATATATAAATTTAGCTGTGTGTTCTGTATTTTATCTGGCAACCCCAAAAATCACTAATCGAGGCCACCTAAGAGTCACAGCCTAATGTTAAGGTAAAAAAAATCGATCAAACTCTAGAGTTACACTCTTACTGTAAGACTAAACCTAAAACACGAATATCCTTTCTCCTCTGTCTGCCCTTATTACAGATGTTTTTTAATCAGTTTATAAAAATTCAGTGATGATAACACAACCCCTAGCATGTAAAAAGCACACAATATCTAGCAAACAGAAACAGGAATTGCAGTTTGATTTTTAAAGTTAATAACAAAAGTGATGCAAAGTGGTGGCGCATACCACTGAAGAGAAAGTAATTATTCAATATCTGGCTCTGCAGAGAAAAACATTGGTAACATCCTTAAAGAGTTAGCTCAAATTTCCTCTCTCCTCCATGCTCCAATTCATTTAGTGAACAAAAGTTCTCCCTTCTTTGAATGTTCCTGGTACACTAGTGGTCGCTAATTTAAAGTATTTACCACTTTCCTAATCTTAATACAGATAGATGTTTACAGCTTTCACTGCCCAGACTAAAATATAATTGTCCTAAAACACTTTGTGAAAAGGAGGTCCCTAGGTAACTGTTAATATGAGTAGGAGTCTGGAAAACTACTTCAATTTATTGGTGCTCAACTTACTCCATGGCTGCAAAATATCTACCTGGGTCAAATTTTCCAGAAAGAGGAATAACTACATTTCCCAGCCCCACTTGAATTTGGTGTGGTCAGTATCCAAATGCTGGCCAAGGGGACAAAAGAGGAAATATGCAGCTCTTCCCAGCACCTTTTTATTTAAAGAAGAACCCAAATATACCATTTGCCTTTTTCTTCCTTTTTTCTTCCCCACTCTATCTCCTACAACTCTGATGATGCCATTTTTGGACCAGAGGGTCATGGGCCAAGTACAGCAGGGCAACAGGGTGGAGTCAAGTTGCCTGACATCATTGAGCTCATAACTGACACCATTTTGGCCCAGGACTAATTACATGAACGAACATCTCTGTAAAATATTAGTGCACTTGCCTCCTATTTAAGCTTGTTTTATGATGGGCCTACAGTCAATATCACTTAGCTTTATTCTAATACAGACGGTGTAGCTAATGTGACTTAATTTGCATTTGCACACAGTAAGATCTGTCATCTGGGTTATACTTACAATTTCAATAGCAAAGATTAAAAAGAAAAAATATAAAATACTAGCACAAATTTGGAAAACATGCATTCTCAAATACTATTATTGGCAATATATATTAAAATTTTTCAAAAGGGATGTAATTGCATACATAAAGTCTTCAAAATGTATATATCCTTTGACTCAGAAATTTCAGTTCTAGAAATAGGTAAGAATGAAATAATTTTGGTGTAAGAATATTAATTTATGCATTGTTTGTAATGGTGAATAAATAGTAACAAAATATTGGCTTAATAAATTATGGTAAAAATAAAATAAAGACACAGAAAAGTGATTGTGTAGAAGAATGCCTAACAGAGTTTAAATTTGCTTACATTAACTATTGAAGAAAAAAAGTTAGATTTCAAATTTCTTTGTATTGTATGATCTATGGTGTATGTTGCGTGTATACAATATAGAGATTCCTGGATAAAGGAATATACAAAATTTTAGTAATCATTATCTTTCATTTTGGGGATCATAGATGATTTTGATTTTCTTTTAGTTTTTCTGGATTTTCTGTTTAATTTTTATTTAAAATATCAAGTATTTTAAGATAGCTATGATAAATTGAGTGTATTGATTCTCTTTCATTTTTGCTTTCAAACCAGCCAAATCTTACCTGAACTGATCCCTTCCTTCAGCATCTTGCTAACTGCAATCAATAACAACCAATTACACTGATAAGCATCTGTTTTTCCACCTATTGCCTGGATTCGCTCTCTCATTTGAATGGAGTCTGTCTTCCAAGTATCCTGAGCATGGAATAACATGAATCACCATCTTTCCAGCCTGCTAACAGTCATTAAGCCAATAACATCTTTTAGGTTAAATTACAAAAAACTCCCATTCCTTGAACCAATTTTTGTATTAGAGAAGGTTAATAATAGAAAATAATAGAAAAAAAGTTAACATAATATCCATTTTTTCCTTGCTTACATAAGAATCTTACACATAGAAATATAGGCATTTAGGTGAGGTCCTAAAGACCTCAAAAGTTCTGTCTATTCACAGGCACTGGTTAAGGAAAGAGATAGCAAATGAAAGATCATACAGGAGGAATTTATGTGGCAGACCTAGAAATGCTGTACATCCCTCCTACCTACATTACATCAGTCAGGATCCCATTTGATGGCAGTGCCTAACTCTAAAGGCATTTTGAAAATGTAATTTATCTGTGCACCAAGGAAGAAAAAGAAACAAAATATGGTAACATAAAGGTGTCTCTTCTACAATCATGTTTTTATTTTTATTTATTTTGTTTATTTATTTATTTATTTTGATACGGGGATTGAACCCAGGGGCACTTAACCACTGAACCACATCCCCAGCCCTATATTGTATTTTATTTAGAGACAGGGTCTCACTGAGTTGCTTAGCGCCTTGCTTTTGCTGAGGCTAACTTTGAACTCGAGATCCTCCTGCCTCAGCTTCCTGAGCCACTGGGATTACAGGCATGTACCACTATCCCCAGCCAATGTGCTCTTCCTTAATCCATGAATTCCTTTAATTAACCCAACTATCTAAAGGATGCTCAGTGACTAGGACTGATTGAATGAAAATACAATAAACATAAAATATATTTTCTTCAAATTGCGGTTACCTAATGGACCTTTGTCATCCCAAGGGTATTTCTGGTTAAAAAAGTGACAAAGTATCCTTTCCTTTTGACTGCAGGAAAACCTGTTTCTCGGACTTTCCTTTTGACCAGACATCATACCTTCATAATTATTTTATACAAACTCTTCACTAAGTTTGAGCAAATGTGAGAACTTTCGAATCCACAGGGCTACTTGGGAATTATTGCTCCTCATCATTAGGAGCTGAATTTTACTAGTTAATTGCAAATGACAAGCCTTTTTATGTCCCCAAGTTCAAGTTCTGGGGCAACTGTTTTGACTATCTCTGAACAGACAACATTAGCTTCAGTAATTATAATTTCTGACAAATGTTCTAGGAATAAAAAAAGATATTAATTCTTCAGAATTTATTTAACTCTTTAATGTTTAAAAATGTACCTTTCCATATTTGTTTTCTCAGTTGAAACTTGCTCTCCAGGTTATGCTATAACTTGAAATTGACTGATTTGTTCACTTTAATTAGATGAGTTGCAATATAGATGTTATATATTTGATCCATTGATGTACTGCAATCTATGTAAAATGATTCCTGTTCATAAACTGTTGAGAGGAAGGGGCTTAAAGTTCAAATAAGTGTATAACCATTTGAACCATATATTTTAACCATGCAAGATGTATTGAAATATAACAATGTCTTTGGTTTTATTGTATTGAAAGAGGTTATAAATGGCAAAGAATGGGAAGGTATTGAGTTTTTTCTCGTCTGTATAAACCTAGGCATGTTTGGTTGCCTATAAAAACAATTGCATAGAAGACAGTTGGGTAAGTGTCTCATTTCATCTGTTGGATGAACTTAATAAACTGAAGGCTTTTGTCTTTCTTTTAGAGCTTTATATATAATTAAGAAATGTTAACAACTCCTTATTTCATTATTTTTGTTAAAAAAAAGAAAATAATATTCTTGTAGTTTGAACCACCTGAGATCTCCCTTAAAAAGATCTTTGAGATGAATAGATATTTTTATTTTAAAAGGGCACTAGAGAACACATAGCAGTTATTTCAGTGTAGCACTAAAGAATACAATGTATTAAAAGCTCTGAAATTGCTCAGTTAATGTGAAATACTTGAGTGAGTTGCAATTTTGTACCTAAGAGGTAATACACGCCTGTATCCTCAGGGGTTGTCATTCTTTGATATGGCATGTCAAGTGCTCAATTAGTCTTTCTGTGAAGGTTCTGTGATTAGAAATCCGCCCTCCTCAGTTGCCACTCCTTTTAATCACTGTACTGAGACCCTACACATCTGTGAGATGTTAGGATGTCAGCCAGTGCTTCTTAATGAAAGAAGCACATTAGTCAACCCAGGGAATTTTTGCGTGATTGATTTTTCACATTAACATGCTACATTTCTGTTTTTTAAACAGCTTTATGATTTACATAACATATGACCTACCCACCTAAAGTAGTTTAGTGACCTTTTGAATGTGTATTAGTAGTGCCACCATCACAAATCAGTTTGAGGACACTACCATGCCCCACATGCCCGCATATGGTTGATCACATATGGGGCTTTCAAAATTAACAAGGTTTAGCCCTACCTCCCTCCACCCCCAAACTCTCTTGGAGGGTAGAACATCAG